TTTAACACAAACCAGGCTGGGATTCTATGAAGGTGCCAGCTGGTAGTGCAGGAACACTTGTTTTTGCCTTGCTATGAATGCATGAGTGCATCCCGTGCAGGTGTGACATGATTTATGCTGGGTGTGAGAATACACGGTTGTGTAGGGTCTGCTGGCATAAGCTGATACCCACTAGTGCCTTCATATTATTAAGGGTCATGGGGAATTTGCTCCTATGGCTGGTGGATTGTTTAATGCAGGTAAATGTAGATGATGTAGCTCATGTTTTCTGGTTGTCTGCTTTATTTATGAGACACTCGGGTAGCTTTGGAATGTCGCTGTGGTAAGAGTTCAGTTGAAACATGTGCTAACTTCTCTTTTTCCCTCAAGACACAGGGCACAAAGAATGAAGGGAGGATTGAAAAAGACTGCATTTCAGGCAAAGGTGGCTCAGATCAAGACGACAGGTATCAGGGTAGAGAAGCACTTCATAGAAGGTGAGCAGTGAAGAAATCCTTTCTCTGTTGTGCTTCATGGCGGCTGCTCTGGCGCTCTGGTTGCTGGTATTCTGTCTTGCAGGGTGAATGTATGTATCGGATTCTTTAGAGTACTCTTTGGCATTTTATTCCTCTGCTCTCAAATCGGACAGTTTGGAGGTCCTGCAGTCCTGAGTGGGTCTGGAGCCCTTGGTATCATGAATGCTGGCTGCTTTCCGACTCTTTTCCAGTTTGTTGCTCTCCTAAAAGCACAGGGTTGGCCTTTTGTGGCTCTCTGCAGACAAAAGGATTGATTTCACAACTGTTTTGCTGCTGGGGAGGTTCCTCTGGGTTTGGTTGCTGTGCAGGGGTGTAGCAAAACGCTTGACTTTCAAACTTAAGTATGTAAACTGGGATTTCTAAGGGAAGGCAAAGCTTTGTCCTCCTGTGGCCTGTGCAGGAAGCAGCTGTGCCTCTTCTAGCAGGTTCAAGGAGTAAAGAGGATCTATCTGATCCCATCCCTCTGACCCTTTTTCCGTTCAGATGCCCCAGCCTGTTTCCCCACCTCAAGCAGCTGTATTTGCCATTGCCTCTCTGCTGGTAGCACCCTCCTGCCTGACCACGTTTCTCCCCAGACCATCATTACTTGCATGAAGCCCGTCATCACAAGTTCCTGTTCATCACCACTTAAATAAGAGCAGGCACAGGTTGTGTTGGATGTGAGACCTGAAATTAGCAGGACAGGAATATTCCATAGTGAAAAACACTTTGGCTTTTCCTGGCCAGTGGTCTGGATGTGTGCCAATGCTTTTGCATTGCAGTCCCAGCTTTGGTGATGTGGGTCTTTGGTGTGTAGGTGCTGGGAGGTGATTGAGAACATCGAGGGCAGGAATTCACAGCTCCTTCACAAGCTGCAAAAACTAGAGCAGGAGCACAAGGATTTGGTGGAGTGCAGTGAAGACCTGGAATCAATTCTGGGAGAGACACAAACCCAAAGCAAGCAGGAGAAGGAACAGTTTCAGAGTGAGGTGGAGGGACTTCAACAACAAGTAAGTAAAGAACAGAAGAAGTCGGGTTTGGTTTTGTTTAATTCCAGCTGCTTTTCTCTCTTCATATTGATAGGTCAGATAAAATGTTTGACCCAGACCTACATGCAACTTTGTTTAGTTTGACAAGAGGTAGACAGCACCAACATTTGTTTGTTTTGGAAAAGATGGGGAAAGAAGGAAAAAATTCCAGCAGTGAGTAAATGACACGTGCTTGGAGGTGCAGATTCAACATAAGAAGGACATGGAGCAAGTCCAGAGGAGGCCAAGAGGATGATGAGGGGCTGGAGCAGCTCCCGTATGGAGACAGGCTGAGAACACTGGGGTTGTTCAGCCTGGAGAAGAGAAGCTGCGTGGAGAGCTCAGAGCAGCTTCCAGTGTCTGAAGGGGGCTACAAGGATGCTGGAGAGGGACCTTCATCAGGGACTGGAGTGACAGGACAAGGTGTGATGGGTTCAAACTGAAACAGGGGAAGTTCAAGTTAGATCTAAGGCAGAAGTTCTTTACTATGAGGATGGTGATCTTAAGGTCTTTCCCAACCCAAACCATTCTATGATTCCCCTTTGTCAGAGCAGCATTGTGTTCTCCAGCTCCTGTCCCCCCTCCTTGGTGCTTGGGCAAGCAGAGTTAATGTGCTAACACACCTCCTGCATCCCCAGGAGCGAGATGAGGCCACGCTCCTGTCCCGTTCAGCCCTTCCATGGCGCTGTGCACCCGTCTGTGTCTTGGCTGAGCTGAGGCAAAGCTGCTCGTTTCAAATTCAAGTCGCATCTTCTTTTCTCTGGGGCTATTTCTTCTCAACTTGTAGCTCAGAAGCTCTTATTTCCCCTGAGAGGTTGTCCTAGATGGCATCAGTGCTCCTGATGGACTTCAGCGTTGGTCTCCTGCTTTTCCATATTGGATGGTTGTTTTTTCTGCCTGCAGTTCCTTCTGAAAAACAAGTTCCAGGAAACCCCTCCTCCTCTTGAGTCTCAAAGAGAGGCAAGAGATCTTCCTGAAGCCCACGAGTTGTCCCTTAACCTGGCACCCATGATAGAAGTCCAAGCTTTGACTCGAATCCCTAACCCTTCTCCAGACCTGGCCAACAGATGAAAATGGTCACTGTGGGACACTGATGCTCCTTGATCCCAGGGGAGGTCACCAGTTGAGCATGCTCGTGACAAAATACTGCACTTCTGGCTTTTCCCTGAGCACAACATCTCAGAGACGTGCCAGCCCATGTGTTGAACACCTCTTGTGGGTGTGCAGGGCCAGGATCTGCACTGCCTGGGGACATCCCTGCTGAAAGTAACACATCTGAAGGGACAGAGAAGTTCTCTCGTCACCCGCAATCTCCTGGTGCAGCACCTGCTGGTAAATGGGGCCATGCTGGACTCTTCTAGTTGAAGAGCTGTGGTAAGCTGGTCCATCTGGAGAAGCTCTGCTCAATCTTGATCAAGATATGACCTCACCGGCCTCTTCCTAACCCATGTCCTACTTGATTTTGGGCACCCTCATTCCAGAGCAATCTGGCTCTTTTCCTGTTAATAGGCCACGTCCACCCAGATCATCCTTTGACTTTAGGTTGATGGAAACTCTGTTATTTGCACTCATTTGCATGTGCCAGGGAACCTCTGGTTAATGGCAGATGTGAAGCTCCATGTTGATTCTCTGGTTTACCAGAACCATGGCATTTTAGAGGTCTCCTTATGGCACCTGCAGAGCCACCTTCATCCATGTTTTGAGCAAGGATTAAGTTATCACTGAAGCTTCTCAGCCTGGTGCTGCCTTTGCCAGGGTGGTCTTTAGCCTCAGTTTAGTGGATGGACTCTCCATCACTCTGGAGGTAGCTCTGTGAGGAGCACCTGCACTTACGGACTGGTTTGTCACTGCTTGTCCCCAGGGAAAATACCATTCGCAGCATCACTACCAGGGCAGATGATCCCTTCCAGACAGGGCAGTGATAAATTTGTAGCTGCAGAGAACAGAGAAAGCCATAAGTTGGTCTTGCTGGATGGATTGGGTGGGCTTCTCCCCAAAAAGGGCTGGCTGAGGAGGTCATTTCCTTCGGTTGAATCTCTGCTGCCAGGCCAAAAGCTCTTCCTTTCTTGGGCTGAGTTGCTGCCTCTGGTCTGTCTGCGGTTAGGAGATGCTCTCTGCAGTGGTCCTGGTCCTGGATTGCCAGGCAGCAGAACCAGTCCATACTGCTCGTAGAGGACCTTGGATTTCTGAGGTGAGAAGGAAGGACACACACAGGTTGTCAGTCAGGAATGAGCAGTACTTGGATGTGTCCTTACACTTGCTGTTGTGACATAGTACAAGTGTGAATGTCGAAGTAGCCACATACCTCCAAGAGTAGTTGTTCAAAGGAAGATGAGAGGAATTACTTGTCTGTAGGCTCTGGCTGTGAGGGAAAAGTCTCTAAATAACAGTGAAACAGACTGAAGGCATGTTCAGATTTCTTAATGAAGGATGCCACCAGACATCATGTTTCTAAGTGTGTATCTGAGGAGCCAAGAGCAAACCAGGGTTTGTTCAGCACATGCTAAAACGTTTCCCACTTTCTCACTGAAGCAGAATAAACACAACTCTCCACAGATCACACAAGATTTTCAGTTTGGAGAAACCCCTTCTTTGCTCAGGGCGTTGTTAAGCAGATCCCTGGGAATGTCGCATTGGGGGATGCTGCGGGGAGCCCCGAGTAGTCAAGGAGATGCTGGCAGGAGCTTGGCAGCTGCTGTAGCTGAAAAGAAGACAGAATGAGGCATGCAGGGAGCAGGGTGGAAAAGGAGGTGGGTTAACCCTTAGTTAGATCCAGCATCTGCTGAGGTGGAGGGCTGCAGAGCTGCACCCTTCATCTCCAAGGGGCTTTTGGGTGCCCTGGGGGCAGTGAGGGAAGGAGTGCAGGAAGGCAGGTACTCAGGATCCCAAAGGAAGTGGTGGTGCTGGGTGTTTGCCAGCCTGCCCCATGGGAGAAGCACTTGGAAGTGTTTTCTGTTTTGTTGGCACACCTACAAGAATCTGGGTGATTAGGCCGCTGACTCAGAACCAGGACATGGGACACAATGGGAGTATTGTTCTGCTGTTGGCAGGAGACTTATGAGTGCAACTTAAATGCTTAAAAGTTAGTGGCTTGGAGGAATAATGAGCAAAGTGATGGAAACGCATGGCTGGGTATCAACTGTATGGCCAAAGGTTCCTGGGGAGGTGTATTTTGCCTTTGAGATCCCTTCCAGAGCTCCCAAGTCTTGCTGAACCCCAAACTATCATCTAGTCGTGCAAGAGGAGAGGGTTTATTGCCCTCTGGCTCTTCTGTAAGAGGTCTGGGTGTTTCACCCACTGATCTGCTTTTAATACCTAGGTTGGGTAACATCATCTGTCTTAAGAATGACAGCAGCCTTCCCCAGTGCTGGATGGCTCCCTCCTGTGAGTTTCAACAGAGCCATCTTGTGCCTGAAGCCTGTCAGTGAAAGCAAAGCTCCTGGGCTTTGGCTGTGCTGGGACTGCTGGAAATGGGCTGGGATTGGCAGAGACTTGGCACTTCCCCAGCTTTGGCTTCCCATTGGGAAGGAATGAAAGATGGTCTCTGAACAAGTGCAAAGAAAGGAGGGTGAGAAAGGCATAAGGCATCTTGCATGTTTATCTGAGTGCAGCGATGGCTGTTGCTCGTATAGGTCCAGTGTCTGCTCTGTATAGATGAAGCTGGATTTCATCTCCAGCTGGACTTTGTCTCCTTCCAGTGTCCCCACTCACTCTGCAGCCTCCTTCAGTGAAAACCCAGCTCGAGACAGCTTGGGGGTTTACAATAAGAAAACCAGCAGAAACCTCCTCCCAGCATAAGGAGCAGAAAGGAAAGGCTGTGGAATGCTGTGCTGACTGGCACCGGAGCAGGGCGGCTGCCAGTGCCAAGATTTGGATCTTGTAAAAGGGTCTGCAGGAGCCCTGGCGGGGAGGAGAAGCTGGACTGCTCCTCGCTCCTTCCAGCCCTTCAAAACGGGAATAATAACCAGTGCCACAAAGGAATGTCTGAGGGGGGTGGTTAGGATGCAAAGCAAGCACTTGTCCAGACAGACTCTTGCCTGCCAGGACAAGCACAGAGGTCAGTGCTTGGCCAGCTCAAGTCCAGAGTCCTCCGAGCCTTGCCGGAGGGAGCTACAGCATCCTCTGAGCAGTGGAGGGACCAGGACAATCCTGGAGGATCAGGTCAAACCTGGACTGAGATCAGCTGTGGGGGAGTGGGCACTGCAACAGCATGGGGAAGGAGGATGGCCCATCATATAAATCAGAGTCTGATGGGGTCCTTTGTGCTGGGAGAGCAGCATGTAGAAGGCCCACAAGCTCCAGAGGCCTTGAGTTTTCATCATGTGTCTGGGTTGTTTCTCTCCTCCTGTGGAGCAGGGTTGTTTAATTTTCCGACTTGGCCTTGGTGGCTCCCTCACCTTTTGAAGCAGCAGGATGAAAGATGTGAGCTGGAGCTGGCCCATGCTGGTGCCTGTCCACATCTCCTACTCCTTGCTTCCAAGGCTTATTCTATAATACAGCATAAGGAGCAATTTAGCAATAGTTGTGCATTTAGTGCTAGTTGTGAGTACTGGTTTGGTTTTAACTTATGGTTTCTCTATGTTAAGATAATAAGTTTAGAAGCAGAGTTACTTCAAGTGCAGAAGAACAAAGCTGAGATGAATGGGGACGAGCAGGCGTTGTCTGGAGCACAAGAGATGCAAGAGGTAAGAGGTTCTCCTTGGGAAATACACAGTTTTATTTAGAAATGCATTAAATGAGCATCTCCTGTGAATGCTCTTTGTCTCTTTTCTAAGGATTTGTTGCCCATCAGCTCATGCAGGACAAATGGATGGTTTTGTAGGAAAGCAGCTTAACATGCCAACATGATCTCTGTGATAACTCATCTCTCCTAGGAGATTGTCTTGCCTTCAGCCCTGCAGGCTGAGGAGCTTGTTGGCTTCCCTGGTGAGGGTGAAGGGTTTAAATGGGTAAAGGTGCTTGGTCCTTGCAGCCTGGGCAGCACATAGGTACACGTATGAGGCTGTTTCCCAGCTGGTTTTGGGCTGACTTTGCTGCTGATTTGTTACTTGCCAAATGGACAATTGGATCTGCCTGGCAGAGCTTATTGCATGTGTCAGAGGAGCTTTCCAAGGTATCCTGGGTCAGGTATCCAGGCCTTCAGGGATGTCCTGGGAACAGGGTAGAGGAATCCTGCTGGCAACTCTTGAGAACCATTTTTCCTACCCTTGTTTTCTAGAAGACACCCTGTCTGCATTTGGTTTGTCTTTTGCTAGAATAAATGCTGCTGTAGAAGCGGCTCCTAATTTTTCTTGTTCCAGATGTTGAAAAGCTGTCAGGAAACAATAGAAAAGTTGGGAAGTCAGCTGGGAGAGCGGAGAGAACGGAGGAAGCAGCTTGCATCTGAACTTACACTCTTACGAGAAGATCTGAAGGCTGAGAAGAAGGTGTTGGGCAGCCAGGTAGGTCCAGCTCCGGCACGGGGACCCCTGCAGGAGACTGTCACCTTTGGGTGACTCCATGAAACATCCCCAGTTGATCCCAAGTGCACTGCTTGACTTTGCTGGATGGATTTCCCTAGTCCAGCCAGTTTCAAAGCTTCTTTTCCTGCCTGTGCCAGGGGGTTGGAACCGAATGATTTTAAGGTCCTTTCCAACCCAAACCAGTCTATGATTCTTTGGCACATGGTGTTAAATCCATCTGCTTTAATGAAACAGTCTCTAACTCTGTAACTCAATTTTCCTTTCAGTGAATCTAATAACAAAACACTAATTCAAATGTAGCCAAACCCTCCTTCTCTAAAGGGCAGAGAGGATGTTTTCAGACTTAGGTACTTATTGCAGAGTTACTCGTGAGCCTTCATCTCCCTGTGTCATAACACAGCGGGGTACATGGACACTTGAGCCAAGACTACCCTGCAGAGCAGCACCACAGTTACCATCTGAGGTCCATCCACTGGCTAATTCCGGGCCTCTTTAACATGGATCACCTTTAATATTAATAGTATTCTTTCTTAACAGCAGGGTAAGAAGTGAGGACACTGAAGCACCATAGAAGTCTACATGAACAGCTTCAGGTCCCGGCGCTGCTTTTTGTTAGGTGCCCTGAAGACCTCAGCACAGTTTGCTTGAAGCAATTTAACTGCTGGGTGGTTTTCTGTTGGGTTTATCTCTGCTGGGGTTGTTGCTGGTGCTCTTGAGCTCCAGTTGGGCCATTGAGGAGAGAGCATGTGGTGCCAGCAGCATTGCACAGGGGCTGGCACAGGCATAGGCAGGGTCAGGGCTTAAAATTAGGGTTAAAAATGTAGGAGAGCTGCAGATGTGTGGCCTGGTCAGGCAGACAAGGGGAACCTGAGGGGACTGACAAAGGGAGGGGGGTTACACCTATTACAACCCCCATTTTTTAGGACTCTGAGAGGCCTTAAGCTGTGAGCCAGGTCACTTCCTTGAATGCAAGTCAAACCCAATAAAGTCCTGGACTGCTGGGCTGCCCATACGCGGGAGTCTTACTGGAGGAACAGTGGCATCTAGAGGACAGGACTCTTGTAGTGCTGGAGGCAACAAATTCACATTGTAAAAGCTCAGGATATGGACCAAGCCTTGCTGAAGGGTGCTTGGGGAAGGGGCTGGGTCAGTCTGTGAACATGCACATGAAAAGGAATTGCTGATCTGGGGAGGAATGGGGAAAATGGAAGAGTCACTCTTCAGTATTTGCATCCAAACAGTTCAATCTACTCATGGTATAGGGACCTTTTAATCAAAATCATACATCCCCATAAATTTGGTTCTAATTCAGGCACCAGCTGGTCAGTGGTTTCACCTAAGGGAGGACTGTTTTTTCCAGGAATCACAAGATGAAATCCAGTGTCCTGTGTTAGACTGTAACAGTCTTTAAAATAGAGGACTGTGCATGTGTTTGGTGGGATTCCTGCCTCCACACACAGGTTCATTCCCTTTTGATAGAACAGCTGAATTGGGATGAATCATTTACCAGCAGAGCTGGAAATCAGTTTGGCTTGAAATCATGGGGTTCTTAGGGGTGATGCACACCAGGAGGTCAAGATGTGAGGTTGTTCAATATTGTTTATCAGGATGTCCAACACAGAATGAGCGAGTAAATGGGATAATATATTTATTCTTGTACATGTTAATGATGTGCTACAAACTGATGCTATGCAAAGGGCTCTTTGCATTTGTTTGGAACCCTCTTGTTTTTAACAGGTTTTTGGACATTAGAGAGAAGAAAGCTTTTCCTGAGCTTGCAGTTAGGGGTGTATTGCATCCACTAACTCCTGTTGTTTCCTCACCAGGGGTTGGTTGCCAGACTCACAATCAGAGTTTACAAGCCATTGCAATAACTTCCCAGTCTCGAAAGCAGGGATCTTATTAATATATCCCATGAGAAGCTACAAAAAGGGAATGCTTTGTTAGATCCAGAGGTGAGAAATGTAAAGAACACCATGTTGTGCTGGTATCTGATGCAGACAGAAGTTGCTGATGTACCTTGCTCAAATATAAGTAAACTCATTTTGGTGTAGATATGGTCTGGAACTGAAATATTAGCTCAGGAAGAGCTATTGATTAAAAAGCTTTAGGAATCAAAGGCATTGCAGGTGAAGAACTACAATAACTTAGCCACAGACTCACAAGCCATGTCTTGGAGTCCACAGATCGCCTTATGCTGCTCAAAAGATCTCCATGAGACCAAAGAAAGTCAAACTCGTGGTGTTTTGTGACCTTACAGGTCTCCGAACTCCTACAAGAAAGAGAACAGACTAACAACCTCGAGCAGACACGTGAAGATCTATGTACAGATGAAAAGAGAGAGGAAGAACAGGTCAAAAACTTGAGGGATGAACAAGAACTGCTCTGGTAAACTGTAACCACGCCTGTGGTACCTTCTGCTCTTCATCTTTGCTGACTAATTGTTTAGTCTTTTAAAAATCCCCACTGTGCTGCTTCTGGCTAAAATGGGCACAGCAGCTTCGTGTCTTCCTTATTGGGTAATGGTCTGTCTGTAGAGACTTTGGGGAATAAGCATTTCCCTTAGTATCATCATAGAATAGTTAGGGTTGGAAAGGACCTTAAGATCATCTAGTTCCAACCCCCTGCCATGCGGAGGGACGTCTCACCCATCCTTATTCCTCTTATCGCTCCATCATGATCAGTCAGGAGCAAACCTTGTTTTCTGCAGCTATTCCAGATTCTGAATGGTATAAATGAACTATCCTTAGGGAGGAGGCCTCTTCTCTTGGAGTGAGGAAGTATTTGGACTACCATGGTCCCAAAAAGCTCCCATCATGGACTTGGGCTGCTTGGGGCTAACTGCTGCCAGCAGCTGACCACACACATCCTGCTGTTGTCCTTGGAGGATGGGCGTCAGCAGGCATCAGTGCTGTAAATAAAGCTCTTACAGGTCCCCTGACTCCCCTTTTTCAGCAGATCAACACAAATCTGGAGTTTAAACATCCATGCTCAGGCTCTCATTAGTAAATAGAAGCCTGGATCAAATCCAGTATAGTTACAGTCAGCTCCACTACCTGGATAACCAGGTACTGAGATAAGGTAAAACCAGGAGAAGACAGGTAGGTTAGCTTAAAAGGACATATAGTCTGGAGTGAGGTAAATCAGACCTCTTGAGGCCGTGCTTCCATGCAGCAGGGCGCTGTGCAAGTGCTTCCCTGCCCCTGGGAGCACAGCCCAGCTCACGTGGCCCATGCAAGCGGTTCCTTAGCAGGCAGTTAAGCTACTCATGGCTGAGAGCTGACCCTTGGACACAAAGGCTTTTGTGTGTCAGTGTCCAGGGGAGACTGACCCTTGCCCAGAGCTGTTAGACCCAGGATTAAATCCCCTTTGGAGCCTCCCGAGGCACTTGAGCGTTGCCTTGAGTGTTTCACTGGACTCTTATTCCCAGTTATTCCCCTTTGGGGGGTGGTTTCCCTTGGATGTGTACAGTTATCTCTCCTCTTTACTATTTCTCCTTCAAGTTCTGAGTTACTAGACAGCAACAAGAAGAGGGAGGAGCTAGAAAAGCAGCTGAAAGAGAGCAATGAAGACAAGCAGTTATTACTGGAAGAACTTGCCCAGCTAAACCAAGGTGTTCTGGCTACCCGGGAGCAGGGTGACAGCGCGCCTGGGGAGACTTTGAGGATGAATCAAGGCTTGGCACATAAAGGGAACAGGCTTCCCGTGTCGCAGAGCTCTGCAGGCAGTTTAGATGGGAACATTAAACAGGTATGAGCAGCTTCGCCATCTGCACTGTACTTCATTTCACTAAATTCAGTGGCAAAACCCGATTAAAGTGGACTGGAAGCCAGTCCTGTGGTGTCAGCACATGGAGGGAGACGAGGCTGGCTGATCTCCTTGGGGAAAATGTTTGGAAAATAAGAATGTTGTCATTTCCTTCTGTTGTATTTTTGTATGTAGTGAGAACTTGGATAAACTGAATGTCCCCCTTAGCAGACATGAAAGAAGAAAGTTATCCTTAAATGATGTTTTAAATCTTTTGGAGCTCTTTCTCAGCCCCATTTTGAACTGTGAGAAATACAGCTGGCTTGCTGTTCTCACTGCAGTCTTGCTCTTGTTGTGGGCAGAAGCTGTTCCTATTCCCTGCTCCTCCTTGGGGTTTTCTGCTCTTACACTCCAGTGCTTGAACTCATCGGGCTGCTCTCGGAGCTCAGTGAGACTCTGACACAAGAGTTAAGAGTAACCTGGGTGACTTACTTTTTGTTTAACAGGGTAGTTTCAACACGAATTTTTCCCCTCAACCAGGTTATTACATCTTCTCCCTTGCCATCGGAAGTTGTATAGGCTTCTCTGAGGGGCTGGAGAGGGCAGGGAGCAGGACATAGCATGGGGCAGAAGAGATGCTTGCCTGGCTTTACCCATCTTACTGAAATGCCCTTAAACCCTACTGGCATACTTCTACCTTTCTTAATATCCAGTCTTTACCTTTCCGTGAGGTTAATCTCTGTGTAACTTCTGTCGTTCTGCTGTTCCTGCAGGGTCTGACCCAGGAGAGGTTCCAGCAGCAGCAGGAGAAGCTGCAGCAGCTCCGGCAGGACCTGCGCCGGGTTCAGAACTTGTGCAGCTCAGCCGAGAGGGAGCTGAGGTACGAGAGGGAGAAGAATGTGGACTTACGAAAGCAAAACGTCTTGCTCCAACAGGAATGCACCAAGGTAGGAACAGAGCAGGGAGAACTGCTAGGAGGGAGCATCACATCATCCTACAAGCTATGGGAGGGCTGAGGTGCTGTTTGCAACAGACTGGACCTCCTTTATACCTGTCTGTACAGTACCTGGGTTCTCAAGTGTGCTCTGCTCCAGCTCCATGCCAAATTCCCTCCAAATAAAGCCTTGTACTTGCTCCCTGTATTTCTCTTTTATCCTTACTCTCCAGCAATCCTGTTGCCCCTTTCCTAATCAAGACATTTCAGATTATATATATTGAAGTGCAAACTTGGTTTCTTCTTTTGAAACTCAGGTCAAAGCTGAGCTGAAGCAAGCCCGGGCAAAACTCTTGGACACAACTGAAACATGCTCCTCTCTCACAGCACAGTGGGAGAAAAGCCAGCAGAAGGTCAAAGAACTCGAACAAGAGCTCTTGAAGTGCTCCCAGGCTGATAAACTGCAGGGCAGTCTGCAAGAGAAGCTTGCACAGGAGAAATCCAAAGTGTGTGAAGCACAAAAGAAGGTAACTCCTCAGCTGAGTTAACGGGAGGTTTGTGTTCAGCAGAACACAGAAGCACCAGCAGCTCCTGAACTAGTTCCCTGAAGTCCATTCTGCTGGTCCATGTTGAGATCACTTGGTTAAATGTATGAGAAAAAATGTCTGTTATTAGTGGGACCATACTCAAGGCAAGAGAATCCCACTCCAGTGGCTCAGCTCCTGTCTGAAAGCTCAGTGTCTCTGGAAATACTGGCTGTAGGGCTGGCAGGCACAGGGATTCCAGGTCATGCTCCTGGTGAGCAGATTGGTGGCTGGGAATGGCAAAGCTTGTGATTTCCATGGCATCGATTCTGCCATGTTCCTGCACTCATCACTGGATACTTGGTTTTGGCGTGTGCAGGATCAAATCGGGTGCAAAAAGGGTTGTTGCTAATTCATGACACAGTGTCTGATCCAAAATCTGGTAGCTGTTGAAAAGGCTTTGTTTTCAATGGGCCTTGATACAAAGACATAGAATCCCAGGTTGCTTTGGGTTGGAAGGGACCTTAAAGCTCATCCAGTTCCAACCCCCTGCCACGGGCAGGGACCCCTTCCACTAGAGCAGGGTGCTCCAAGCCCTGTGCAGAAGTCCTTTTGAATAGAAGCAAGCAAACCTTTCATTCCCATGACTCACATGCTGAGGGATCAGAGGGATCTGAATCCCTTGGATTCAGATACTGGCCTATAAATCAATAAATTTAATCCATGTCCAATTTTAATCCGAGATTTCAAAACTCCAGCAAAAGCTGAAGGATTCACAGCACCAGCTCCTGCTGGCAGAGGCGCGGGTTTCAGACAAGAAACTCCTGGAGGAGGAATTGAAGGAGGCCCGAGAAAATGAAGCTCGTGTGCAGCAAGAACTCCATGAAGAGCAGCTGAAAAGGTACCTGGAGCTGGGTGAGCCCCGTGCTGTGTGCGGAGGGGAGGTGTGTGCCACCAAACGCTGCCGTGCCGGCCTGCAGCTACCTCCTGCAGCTCCATGGCTGGCCCTAGGTGGGTTCAAGGAGTCACTGCATCACTTGTTTTGCCTCCAATCTCTCCTTGTGACCTGCCAGAGCTCCACAGGAGATTTAAAATACTTCTGGAGCCTTCAGCTGCCTCGGAAGGTGTGTTGCCCTTTCTGCCAGCCCAGGGATTTCTTTCATCCTCTGGATGCCAGCAGTCCCCTTTCTTGTGCAGCAGGGACTGATGATCCCAGATACACAGAATCACAGAATGGTTTGTGTTGGAAGAGACCTTAAAGCTCATCCTGTTCCAACCCCAACACCTTCCACTAGAGCACATCAGGCACCCTCTCACCTGCCACTGGGACATGGGGACAACCAGGATGGGCTGATTTCTTCCTTCCATTAGCGTTGCCCAGGGCAGGTGCAGAGCAGTGTGATGGTGAATTAAGGTTGGCACATCACGGGCTGGCCTCACATCAGTGTCTCAGTGCCACCCCAACGTGCTTTCAGGAAGCTCCCAGAGCAGCAGGTGGAGATGCTACGGCAGCAGCTCCGGCATTCCCGGGAGACGGAAGCGTCACTGGCCAAGATGCACGTGGAGCTGCAGGCCAAGACTCTGCACGTCCTGGACAATGAGAGGAAAACCGACTCAAGTGAGGTGAGCTGCAGTGTGGATGGGTCCTCATCACCCAGGAGGATGCTGTGGTGACACCAGAGCAGACCACCGAGCTCCAGGGGGGAAACGAGAGCATCCCAGTGTGAATCTGTACTTGGGAACTGATGAAATAGGATCTAATCCAACAAGGTGCTGAGCCCTTGCAGGTACTATTGATGTAAAGAGGAGCTGGAGGAAAAGCACCATCCCATCTCAGTTTCCTAGGGATGGAGCTCTGAGGGCAGAGAAGGACAATTAGGTGGCTTCTCCCCCTTTTCTTGCAGAGCATGGAGCTTTTTGCAGGAAACTCTTGGCAGGGTCTGCTGTCTGGGGGTGCTTTACCTCTCTCTGCCCTCTTGAAGCCTTCAGCCCACCCAGCAGCACAGAAATCCACACTTCCCCTCCTTAAAAGAGGAGGCAGTGGCTGCGTTGGGCAGAATGGATGGATATAATCTGTAGTGGGAGCCACCGGGATTTACGGCAGAGAAGCTTTGGAGACCGGACTGAAAGGAGGCAGAGGGACCCCTGCAGCTGAGGACAAACACACAAACAATGTTTTCCAGCACCTCCAGTGCCAGAAGGACAACCAGAAGCTTTCGGAGCAGCTCACTCTGCTGAAGGAGGAAAACAAAGCCCTTTATGAGGAAGGAGTCCGGATCCTGAGCCAGAAGGACCTGTGTGTCAGGTAATGACTGCAGCAGCAGGCACAAAACACCTACCCAGGACCTGCTCTTTATGTGCCTGGCAATGGCACTGGATTTGAGGGTTCTGCTGCCTTTCTTGTCTCTCCTGGTCAAGGCATTTAGCACTAAACCCATCAGCCCTGCATGCAGCCGTGTTGTGTTGCACATGTGCTATGGTGGCTGCAGCTGAAGGCAGTGCAGAACACGAGGTGGTGCCTCGGGAGGGCTGCGGGTGCTGCTGCTCAGGGGCTGGCGCTGGCAGAGATGCTCCCTGGAGCTGCTCGTTTCTCCCCAGAGCACTTCTGATCTAACTTAAAGGACACCAGCACTTTTGTCATGAGTTTTGAGCCAACGTGGGCAAATATCCCTTATATGGTGGAGATTTCTCTTGTTTTGGACATTATTTTCTATACTGAGTGGATAAAACAAAACAATAACACTGCCTAAATGGGACAAGTTTGAGGGGAAGAGCAATGATCACAAATCTCAGTAAAGATAAATATTTAACCCCAGTGTCACGGCTTTGAGAATCACCCACTGAAGCAGCTCTTTCTGCAACCTGTTTGCTGGTTAGGATTCTTTTTTGGCCTTTTCCCCCCATACACCATTAATTTCCCTTAACCACCCACATCCCCCCCTGAATAAACAACCTGCCCTTTCCCTGTTATTTCCAATTCTGGTGACTTTATGTCCCTGTTTGGTATGAAGAGCTGAGAAGGGCAGGTACAAGGATTTGTATCCTTGTGGGATAACAGGGAGTCAGTTTGGGAATGCTTTGGGGCCTTTTCCCTCAGTTTCCATTTGGCTGACACTTAACAATATAACCTTTGCAACAAAGGAAAAACCAACCCCAAAGTGATCAGTGGAAGACACGGTCCAGACAGTCAGTGTGCTCGTTCTGCCTTTAGCTGCTCAACCAAAAGGAGCTGGGAGATGGCTGAGGCTCCCAGTGCAGGCTTGGAAGAGCCTGAATAAATGCAGGACATCTCCTGACTTGATCCTGGCCCGGAGCACAAAAGCATTTCCCAGCCTGGTGTTTGTGTCTCTGCCTCTTCAGGAAATACAACGAAACGCAGCTCCGCCACAAAGCCAAGATCCGCAGGGCCAAGGAGACCTTCATCCATGAGATGAAACAAAGGGACAGCAGAATCAAGCAGCTTGAAAATGAGCTCAGCGAGTCAAAGCTCCAAGTGGAAAAGGTGAGAGAACACATCGAGGGCTTCTCCCCCAAAGGAAATGCAGTTGAAGAAGAAAGGAAATGAGGTTTAGGAGCAGCGGGTTTGCTGGCAATGGGGCTGCTCTGGTAACCAAGCGGGTGGCTGGAGCACAGGGAGCTCTCCCACAGCCAGCAGTGCCAGGGGGCACCAGCCCGTCCTGGCTGGAACAAAACCCAAGGAAATTCCTAGCCCAAGTTTGCTCTTGTGGGAACACGTGTCCTCAAATCCCATTCAGAAACTGCCTAAGCTCCATCTTCTTTTGGGAGAGGATCCAAAAGTCTCTTTTTGGCATATGTTACATCAACGAGTGTCTCACTTAAAATCATAGAATCAATTAGGTTGGAAAAGAGCTTGAAGATGATCAAGTCCAACCACTCCCCAGCACTGCCAAAGTCACCACTAACCCCTGGCACTGAGGGTCTCATCTACACGGGCTGTGAACACTTGCAGGGACGGTGACTCCAGCCCTGCCCTGGGCAGCCTGTTCCAATGCCTGAGCACCCTCTGGGCAAGGAATTGCTCCTCAGCTCCAGCTAAACCTGCCCTGGAGCAGCTTGAGGCCGTTTCCTCTTGTCCCATCCCTTGTTCCTTGGGAGCAGAGACCAGCCCCCTCCTGGCTCCATCCTCCTGTCAGGCAGTTGCAGAGAGCAATAAGGTCCCCCCTGAGCCTTCTCTTCTTCACACTAAACCTCCCAGGTCCCTCAGCCCTTCCTCATCACACTTGTGCTCCAGGCCCTGCACCAGCTCCAGTGCCCTTCTCTGGCCCTGCTCCAGCACCTCAATGTCTCTCTTGTAGTGAGGGAGCCCAAAACTGGGTGTGATTTGAGATGTGAACTTGTAGGAGTTAACACTCGTGATGGTGACCCCTTCAGTAAAGCACTCCAAGGTTTGCAGAGGACGTGGAGAGCAAAGCATAACTGCTGGTGGTTGTTTCCTTGTGTTGCTCTGCTCAGGGGAAGATGCTGGTTGCCCAGATCACTGCCGAGAATGAGAAACTACTCCAGGAAAGACGACGGCTCCTCCAGAAGATAACTGACCAAGAGGAGACCCTGTGGAGCAACCGGTCCATGATCGCCACCCTGCAGAGCAGGTTGGTGCTTAATGATGTTGACACCTCTGGAAGTCTGCCTTTTCCCAGCACCCTCTGGTTGTGTGCCTCTTTCTCTTAAGAAATCCAGAGGAAAGCCTGAACTGTGCCCCAGTCACTGCTGCTGTGGCTTTTAATTGCTGTGGGATGTAATTAGCTCCTGTCCCCATCAAAGCCCCCAGTGTGGCACACTGAAGCCACTGAAGGCTGTGCAGGCCAAAGGGTCTGTGGTGTTGAGAAAGAAAATGCCCCTTTGAAAAGGTTCTGTGGCCGGGAGGAAAATAACTTGTACCTTTTATGTGTGATGTGCTCAGAGTGAAGATCGTGGATGAGGAGCTCATGCAGCTGCACGAGAGCAAGCTCCAGCTCTCTGGCCATGTGCCCACCTCGCAGCGCATGCCAGGGAACATCCACGCTCCCAACACGGAGGTGAGGCTCCGAGAGGGCTTGGACTCAGCAGGCAGGTCGTGGGAGCTGATGTCTCCTGCGAGTTGGTGTTTGTGGCTGCAGCTGAGGGTGCTGGGGAAGGGCTGAGTCCGTCCGTAGGCTGGAATGGAAAGAGGCACTAAACACAGCAGACAGCAGCGGCTTTGTTGGCGATGAGGGGCTATGTGGGGAGCTGAAAGCTCGAAGCACTCGTTGTACCACTCCACCAGCTTAAATTCAGACCCAAAGGACAAATCTATGCTTAGTGCCTCTGTGGGGCTGGGGCTCATGTGGAGAAGTGTCGGTGGAGCTGGGGGCATGTTGAAGACCAGGACTGTTTGTGGGAACTCAGGGTCTCACATGCACATCCTCCTGTGAAAGTCTCTGTTCCTCCTTCCAGGACTCGAAGAGCATCAGCTCCTCCAAACGCCGTCTACAGAGTAAGGTGCTGCCATCTCCCCATCCCAGGTACTGTGGGGTAAAAGGAGGAGGCAGGGAATGCTTCTGTGTGTGGTGAGGGAAGAGTTGAGCGTTTTGGCTGCTCCACTCTGGGCTTTCACCTCCAAGGGTGGTTGGGTTTGGTTTTTATTGGTCAAAACATAGGGAAAATGGGTGTCTGCGCTGCCTCAGAGACACCGGGGCTGAGCGCACGGGGAGGGCAGGCTGAGTGTGCAGGATGACTTCAAGAGAGGAAATCTGCTTTCAGCTTCCCACCACGAGAACCACCGGCCTCTCTGAGCGCCCTGAAGGCCACACAACACACAAAGCCCGAAGGAGAAGCTGAAAGCCAAGACTCAGCCTTTTGCTTATCCCCCTCTCAACCTTCTGAGATCGGGTACTTAAATGTAGCTTCCCCTGGAGACACCACAGCCTCCCAGCTGCAGGAGGAGAGCCAGGGGACCAGCCCTGGGAGCTTCTGAATGGGGAAAGATGTGCCAGTCACCTCCTCAAAGGAGACATTGTCTATTTGGACCTTAATAAAGCATTTGCCACTGTCCCCCCCAGCGTTCTCCTGGTGAAACTGGCTGCTCAGGGCCTGGAGAGGTGGATTATTCACTGGGTGAAAAAGCGGCTGGGAGGCCGAGCCCAGAGAGTGGTGTGAATGTCGTGTCACTGGTGGTGTCCCTCAGGGCTTGGTGT